GCAAACATAGAAGCAATAGGGATAGCCTCGTCACGAATTCCTGAGATCTGACCCTACTATCAGGCCCTGCAGAGCCCGTGTGGAACTGAGTATGCCACAGGGAGAGAGAAGAGAGTCACCTACCTTGGAAGAGAATGCTGGATATGGGTTGCTGAACTCTGCGTTGTTGAGCTCTTGGTGACTGGAACTTTGGAACTGCTTAATATGATAATTTGTTGGAGTTTCTAAGCTGCGCTATTCTGGACTTTGTATCTTTGGTCTCCAACGTGGATTCGTGTGATCTCTCTTCTGTGTGTGTGTGTTCAAGGTAACGATCAGTGAGGCTCAATGCAAATTGGTATCGGGGCCGGTACTCGCTGCATCCGCTGGTGGTGATCGGTGGCAAGATTAAGGCCGGCGAGATGAGATTTGGAGTTAGACAGTGGGGTTGGAGGCCGAAGAAGAAGTGGTCAGAGAGGGGGATGATGATTACGTACTCACATGCAAGCAGCGTCAAGGAGCTTCATCAAAGGAACGTTCACACGTGAAGTGCATCGCCCCCCTGAGCCCTGCATTTTCTTTAATGAATGGACAAGTGTCACAGTACCTTCCCACATCTTGGTGTTGCTGCTGCTGGACAGAACACTTGGTGACATATCTGATTTTGTCATGAATCAGCATATGGTCAGAAACATGTGCATGAAGTAGGTTGTGTCTAGGATAGAAGCTCGACAGCTGGAAGACTCACCCGAAAGTAGGAAGCATGGGCATGAGCGGCAAACGCTCATAAAACAACTCGTCTAGCCCTAAGACCAATACTGACCGGCATGCGTCCGAACCGGAGTTGACGCAGTGAGGAGCTGCAAACGACGTCTTGACTGCGTCGTTGAAGAATTCCTAAGGTCCTTGCTCACTAACCTTAAATTGCTCGTTGCCCATTAGCCTCACAGGGTAGTTGTAGTGACATTGTAGGAAGGGAAGAACTAAGGTCAGATTCCAATCTATATTAGATAGAGTTAAGTGTTGAGGGCTAGGTCTACGTGATGAGGAGATGGAGGCTACTTACCTGTGCCTTAGTCGCCATGGATGACTACCCGATGTTCGCATTGTTGACCTTGTCCATGCTATGCGGTCCACTCCTTCGTTTCCTGTTTTCGTTGGGGTTCCATCCAGTTTCCGGCATGAGTGTTACCATGCGGTCTGGTGGGTCCATGCAGCCATACACAGCAGAACAACCGAAATTGACAGTAAATTGGTTGAGAAGAAGAAAGAGGAGGAAAAAAAGAGAAAGAAAAAGGAGGAGATAAAAAAAAATGGAGTAGGAAAGGAAGAAGATGAAGAAGGAGAAAGGAAAGATGGAGAAGGTGATGAAGAAAAAGGAAGAAGAATTGAAAAGAGAGTTGGAAGAAGAAGAAGAGGAAGAAGAAGAAGAGGAAGAAGATGAAGGAGGAGGATTAGAAAGAAGAGTTAGACCAAACGGGGAGGAAGTGACAAAAAGCAGTCGTGGTGGGGAATTGAGACTTCGGCAGGTTGAAGACGTAGACTGGGTGGCAAAATTTGGGTTTCGCACAGAGATGCCGGATGAAACAGAGCAAGAAAAGAATGCCTTCACAATCAAAATGGCATCTGCAGCAGACGACGAGGAGAGATTTATATTGTTGGAGGAGAGGAGGAGCACCCTTGACCAGCGTTTGGTTCAGCAGAAAAGGAGGGAGTATGAAAAGACGAAGAGATTGAAGGAAGAAGGGAAAAGGCTTCAGGCCTTGTTGAGAGAGCAAAAAGGGAAATAACTTAAAGTCAAGGAAAATTTGGGCCTCCTCACTGACACATTGTTGCACACCACCCAAGAACTGGTTGCGCTGCAAAGATCCGTTGGGAAAGTAGAACAGCATCAGGAAGAGTTCCAGGGTACATGGAACAACTTCTTTAGTGCTTCCTCCCACATGGTAGACAAAAGGATCCCTGCCTACGCCCATCAACTAGACAGACTTTTCACCCTGAAACTGAAGAACACCATCGCATTCGTAGCCTTAGGAGGTGGCGGTGGTGGGAAAGTAGAACAGCATCAGGAAGAGTTCCAGGGTACATGGAACAACTTCTTTAGTGCTTCCTCCCACATGGTAGACAAAAGGATCCCTGCCTACGCCCATCAACTAGACAGACTTTTCACCCTGAAACTGAAGAACACCATCGCATTCGTAGCCTTAGGAGGTGGCGGTGGTGGGGGTGGTGGTGGAGATGATGGGGATGATGATAGGAAGGGAAAGGGTCCCAGAATGTGACGATCTATCTTCTGATTAGCACAACTTTCTGCTCGATTGCACTCTGGGCGTCGGGCGGAGGGGCATGATCAAATTGCACAAGTGCCCCCATTATTTTCCATGTTTTTTCCTCTTTTCCTCTTTGTTTTGTGAAATTGGTTCCATGGTGGTTGGTAGTTAGGACGCGCCTTAGCGAACGCATAAATAACGGTTGATGCGGCTTCTTCCTTTTCCTTTTGGGAATGGAGCAGGGAACTTCAACGCGGTCATCGCGCAAGAATCTTTTTTTTTTTTTTTTAAACGTTGGGGGAAGAGTGCGGGAGCAATCAGAATTAGGACTCTAGTAATTAGATTAGGATTTTGGGGCGTCGTATTTTTTTTATAACTGCGCGGTGCTCCTTACCCGCGCGGGTTCTGCTGCGCTCTGTCCTGCACTCTACTTTCGCCACGCCTTAATTGAAGTTAATTATAATCTCAATTGTAATCTCTTCTTGTTCCTTCCTCGATGACTGTGGGTGTAAACTGTAATCTTCTCGTTCTTGGCTTCTCATCGCACTGAAACCCGCGGCCTCTTTCCCTTCATCTCATTGGCCACTGCGGTGCATGACTAGATCGATGCGTGGAGAGTGGCTACGTCCCCCACGCCACGGCCCAGGCATCCCGACTGCAGACACTTCCTTCTTTCTTCTCTCCCCCTGCCTCAGCATAATCCCGACTATCTTGCGCGAATGCTAATAGCTATAAATTTTGCAAGCACGACTAAATCGCTCTCTAATCAAACTTGGGAAGGTTAGCGCGGTCAAGAAGATCGGCTAACAAGTGTCCGGGACGTTGGCAAAATTTTCCCTGCCGTTTATTTGACTTTTGATTGCTTGAAACGCGGGCCAACGAGTTCAACGAGCATACGAGGCGGAGGGTGGTTTGGCCAACAAGGTGGAGGGGTTAGGTGTGGCTATACCCGCGGGGCTTTCCTCCACGATGGTCTTCAAAGTCCCATCTGAATGGTTGCTGCCACCACCACGACCCGCGTCGGGCCCGGGTCATCACGGTAAGAATGTAAAATGCGACCTTTTACTATTGCATTATGTAACCAAGGTTTTCCAATAACTAGGGCCACGCTTAGACAAGCAGCAGGCCCGCACCCTTGGGTTCGTGGCCGTTGTTGGTGTGTGGGCTGCCCGTTGGGAACCCGAAGGGGTGGCCACTGCTGTTTGAGTGGGAGGCCAAGGGGGTGGTGGATCGCTCCTAGCGTTGGGCTGGCTAAGACAGCCGAGCGTGGGACTGCGGGCCGTGGCTCTGTGCGCTATTGGGCAGGGCAGCAAGGCCGCACCCCGAGCTGCGGAAAGATATGGGTGTGGGTACGCCCATTAAGGCCCTGAAAGGCGGGGCGGGCCAGAGGGGCTTCAGGGGAAGACTGTCGCGCTGCTGCTGCTTGTGGGCCGTTCGTCGAAAGGTAGTATAGGAGGCGGGAGTCCGATCGGTTCGGCTAGTTGTCGGGTTTCCCCTGAGTTCCCCCCCCCCCCCCCGAACGGCAGAGGTAGCTGGCCGGGCAGCGCCGGTAGCAGCGAACGGAGCAGCGGGAAAGGCAGCGAAGCAATGGGAGGCTGAGCTGGGGAGGTGAGAAGGCAAGTAGGAGGGAGGTAAGTGAACCGTGGCGACATGTAGGGTAGATACATGCGGGGAAGACAGGAAGGCAGAGCGCTTGTAAGCTGGGGAGATAGGCTGTAGAGGGGACGGGCGAAAGCGAAAATCGGGTATAGGTGGCTAGAGGTAGCGGTACCTGGACGCCGTTTCGCGCCAGGTGCATGCGCAGGCAAGGAGGCAGGAGATGACCGGGGAGTTGGAGGATGGGTATGGCCGCGCGTGGAAAGGCAAAAGACTCGCTCGATTCTTGAGGGAATCGAGCGAGAAAAGATCCGCTTCGGAGGTTTTGACATAGGGCGACACTGACTAGGAAGTTAGTTTCGTTAGTAGGTTAGTGGGAGGCGAGCTAAGACAAAAATGTAGTGCGCGGAGTGCTCGGGACAGTAGATATGGTGGGGAGAAAGACCCGATATCTCCCCCGATTCTCTATAGGATCGGGCAAGGTAGGACCTTAAGTTGAGGTTTTCGGGCGTTGCGACATGAATCGCGGTGTTAAATTTTTGATTGGGATGTTAGTCTTGGCGCTATAGTAGACGGGGAACAGACGAGAAGGAAGAAAGGGGCAGGGATGAATCAGGGCGCACTCTTGCGCCAAATGCACCCGCCAAGTGGTGATGACAAACGATAGGCTGAGCGCAGTTAGAAATGCATACCGCGCTCGATACTGGGCAGAATCGAACAAGGCAAGAGCCAACATCGGGGTTTATTGATAATGCGAGCTTGTTGAAATTGTTAGATCAGTGAAATGGTTAGTAGATTAGGAGCTAGTTAGTAAGGGAGGTGCGCGGGGCCATGGTGGAAGGAAGCAGGAGCGGAGATGGGGCATAACTCATCCGTTGGGGGACGGATTTGGGCGGGGGAAAGGGCAATCCCGGGATTTTGGCCCCTGGCGAATTGGATGGGATGGTTAGATGAAGAGGGGAGTCAATGGATCGTAAGTTAGTGAGGAAAGGGGTTGCGTCGAGGCCTTCAGGTTGAAGGGTGGCAGTGTATACTGCCGTTGTTCAGAGGCAGGTTCATTCGAAGTTGCTCGGGCTAGCGAAAGCGAAGGCGTGAAGGGAGCCGCTTGACAGAAGCGGACGGAGAGAAGCTCGTTCCCGAGTGTTGAAGACTCACCTGTGTGTAGAGGCGCCACCCAACCCTTCGATGGAGGCAGCTCCTCACCCACTCCTTGCGCATGTGGCTGGACAGCGGTGTACATGCCCGTGTTCGTGCGAAAGGTTCATCCAATGGCAGTTTGCTCGATCTGATGACGGAATAGCCCATTTCTACTCCTCCGCATGCATAGCCGGGAGGCCGTGTATCTCCCCGCATTCTAGTGGAAGGTCCATTCATCGCTTCTCCTTCCTGGTACATGTTCAGACGGGGCGCCACCTTCTGCAGCAGACGAGCGCACAGGGAGAGAGAGAGAGAGAACCCGTCCGCGCCCAACCGTTAGAGTTGGCCCCGGGGGCCGAACGACCGATGCAAGGGAAGTGAATGCAGGGCATCATAAGCGAAGCAGGGTAATGCTGGATATGACCGACATCGAAGCCGTAGAGGGGCCATGCGGGATCTGAAGACGGTTGTTGGCGAAGGTAGCACTCGACCTGATGAGCGGAGTGGCAGCAGGACAGCCACCGAGCTGCAGATTTGGCGTTTGACCGATACGGGGCCTTGTTCTGCCGAGCATGGAGGGGGGGGCGCATAGTGACTACAATCTGGGGAAGTGACTAAGTGACGATGAGGGGGGGGAATCGCGGGTGTGTCAAGCGTGTAGCGTATCGCTGTACTAATTGCAAAAACTGACAGATTGGGAGCTCCTTCCGGGCCTTGAAGGTGTAGTGTGGCGAAACTGTGCGAAGAAGGGGTATTGGAATTTAGAGAAGGGACTAGGTTTGAGAAGGGGGGTTATTGCTGTGAATTAGGGGGTCGACAGAGGGTTGACTTCAGCAGTGTGGCTTCGGTTTGACCAAGTTGCGGTGCGTTCTGGCCATCATTGCGGGGCCCTCAGGCAACTGAAGGATGAAATGCCCTCTCCTGCGAGTCTGAGTGCACCCCTCTTGTATCTGAGAGACTTAATGCGTCTGCTTCTGCCCTTCTAAATCTAAGTCTAGTCCTGATCTAAGAGGAAGGCGGCAGGCGGGATTGCAACCCGTAGGACCGCAGCAAGACTCTGTGGGGAGTCAATCCACCGATTGCGGGAGCTCTGCCGGAACTCAAGAGGAGTTCTGGAGGCAGGGAATTGAAAGGTAATTGTTGCCTTCCCTCTATAAACCCAATTATAACCCATACGTGTACTTCTCTCTATGCGTTGACTGAGCGTACTGCGTGCACCCTTATTTTGACTTAAGTTGGCTGGCAGGACAAGTCAGACTAAGTAAAGGACTGTGTATGCAATCGCAGTTTCAGTTTGATGATTGCCTGAACGCAGATTGTGAACACAAAGGGGTGCAGATGGGGGAAGGGTGGGTGAGAGGTGGTTTCGCCTAAGGCTAACAGAGTCCTATGGGGTCAGACCAGTTCCATAAGATTGGACGGCCTGACCGCTGTGTTTATTTTTGAATTGCATGGAGAGTCAGACCAGTTCCATAAGATTGGACGGTCTGATTGCTCTGAATTGTGAGGGTTTGACTGCGGCTGACTTTTCAGGGGCCAAACATGTACCATAAGATTGGAGGGCTTTGGTTGCCATGTTTGGCTCGGGTTTTGGTTTGTTTCTTTTGTTGTTGGTCGAGGAGGTCTGAGCAAGTCCATAAGATTGGACGGCTCAGCCCCTTCCTGTTTCATTCTGAGGGAGTAATTCTCGTTGAGGGCAGGGCATGTCCATAAGATTGGACGACCTTGGACTCATGCCGCACACAGTGGGATCAGAGAGAAACGAACCTGGCAGAGGACCAGATATGTTCCATAAAATTGGACGGTCTGGCCCAAAGCCTCGCACATGCTGGAACCCAAAAGGTTAAATTTTGGCTATATTTATTTATGAACAGGCTAGTTGGGCATGGGTTCCATAAGATTGGACGACCTAGCTATAGCTTATCATAAAGTGAAGAGATTATAACTAAGAGTATAATTGAAGGTAACCCTGGGCAGGCTGGGCCTTGTTCTAAGATGAACGGCTCAGTCCTATGCCCAACTTTTGAACACCAAGCTCAGAGAGGTATATATAATTTGGATATTAAACAGTTCGGGGCGGCTGAGCCTTGTTCTAAGATGAACGGCTTAGTCATATGCCCAAAAGGAAGAGAGAAGTAGTTGTGCAACTCGTTCGTGTATACTCAATGGCCGAGTCAAGCAGGTTCCATAAGATTGGACGGCTTGACTTTATGCCCTATGTAAGCTGGGTATAAGGGAATAAAGCATTGAAAGGCTACAAACTATTGTTTGTTAAGTTGATTTGGGGCTGATGAGAGTACTTACCTTTGTGGTTTGGTATTGCATATGGCTGAGTGAGGCTACTACTTGGTTTGAGTTTCAGGTTGACAAGTAGTCGCTTTAGAGGCTCGCCACATGCTAGAGCGATAGGAGTTAGTTTCAATTTCTGCATTTTCTGAGCTAAGCTTTTTTTACTTAGATCGATTCTTGCATTTTCTGAGATCTTTCGTTATACTTGGTTTTGTATAAATTTTGGTAAGCTACTTTATCTACGGGAAGCGCTGCCGAAATTTCAGCAAATCCAAGGAGTTAGTCAAATTCTTGACTTTTCAAAGTTCAACTTGTCTAAAGATCAAGACTTACTAAAATTTGGGAAAGTCTCCTTTTCTAAAGTGAGTGCTGTCCAAATTTTTGCTAATTCAGGGAGTTAGACAAAAATTGGACTTTGGAAAGTCAAAGACTATTTTTGTTTTCGTATTCGGGCTGATACAAATTCTGAAAAGTCACTTTTCCTACAGGAAGCCCTACCGAAATTTTCTCGATTTAGAGGAGTTAGATTATATTTTGTCAGGTAGCGATTCTGGCAATCCACCCTGAATAGGGGAGATTCTGCCATTTGTCTACCTTTGCTTTGGGCACTGGCTTAAAGGTAGGCTTAGACTTAGTTGGCAGATAACTTTGAGTGAGAGTGTGCTATGGAGGTTCATCCCCCATATGGTGATGATTTAGCTTGGGGATTGGCCTGTCATGTGTTACAGGTCCTCTGGACCGTTTGATTCAGGACTTGGACTAGCTTCAGCTTGATCCACAAGGATCATCTTTTGTTATCACTGATAACAGATCGGTTGTCGATTCGTCGGTTTACGATTCAACTCCAATTCACTCCTGCCACTCAACCTAAAGGCTTTAGCCTTGTGATTGAACTGTTTTGTTGTGTTTTCACCCGGACTTTACTGAATGGCCATCCAACAAAAGTACTGAGTATTTATTTAAGAGTTGCACGAGTGAGGCTTGTATGGCTAAAGCGAGGGGTATGAGTGCAAGGAATGGTTGAAGTTGACCCCGTGTAGTGCGTGGACTTCTGGATGGATCTTTGATGTGATTGCAGGTATGGTTGTGGTTCGGCTTCTGGATGTGACTGCCTGCGATTACGTACATATATGACTGAGAGGAGTCCCACTGTGACTGTGAGAAGTGATCGTCCTATATAAATAAGCCTTGTATACATACACTTATAAGTGCCTTGGGTAAGCGCGCGACTTACTGAGATCGTGCGCAGGGGTTAGCCAGATTATGGCTTGAGAGAAAAGGGAGACCCCCGTGTTATCCTTTGCTCTTTAGTATTTTTATAGTTGGACATTGTAGTCCGTGGCAGTCGTCAAAGTCAAACCCCTTGACTTTTGCCCAGGCCCGGAGTAGGACTTACCCCCAGGGCCGCAAGAAACAACTGCCACCACAGGTATGGACCTGTGTACCACCCGCTATGCACAGAGTGCAGAAGAGGGTGTGTGGTCTTCAACCGCGCATGGCGGTTGTCCAACGTCGAGAGATTAACCCTCAAGGCGCGTGTCAGCCGACACTTGAGTGTCGAATGCGACCCTCGAGATTAACGAGGGCCGCACGATTATAGGCACAATATAGTACGCCATCATTGCGACTGCTTGCGTACGTTTGCATTGCGAGTCGGTATGAGTTAGCCCTGCGTCCGCGCGGTTTTATACCAAGTCTCGCTCGCGACACCTATTTGATTTCCGCATTGGAAAGTTATGGGTTGGTTACTGAGGGGCTAAGAGCGTTGTCGCGTTGTTTGTGTTGCGTCGTTTCGTGTGTGTGTGTGTGTGTGTGTTATATTTTTGTGTTCGTAAAGTGGTGTGCGCGTGGTGTGTGGGATGCGTCCTAGTCGACCGACGTCGGGCCGCGCTTGGGACTTCAGCACCCGTAGATGTCGGTTCGCGTGCGGGTCCGATAGGCGTATTACCGCGCGTACCCCCTATGCTACAGCGAACGAGAAACGCCCTCGGCTGGTCCACCTCTGCGATTGCAACCGAGTAACTTTCGTACTGTGGACTRGTAGCTCGRCGRGGATACGCCCACCGARGGGAGGTGACARCTCCCGTAAGGTGGAGGTAAGTTGTGCCTCGCGTAGGCCCCATCCTGTCGTAGGGGCTCGCGAGAGGTATGGCTGGCGCACTCGGCCGGAGCGGCCTAAGGAAGCTCCATTTGCGCGTTCGTGACGAGGTTGGTCCAACTCCTGCGTGACGCGGCCGAGAGGGTCCCGCGCTGCCGCGTGCGGTGCCGGACTGATGCGCCCGGCACCACAAGTATCAATCTGCATGGATAGGAATGACCACAACAACATGGGCGTGTAGCATAGAAATTCGACATTTGTTGTCGACCACAATTGCACGTATCGACCGCCGAGGCTAACAACCGGCTGCGCCGAAAATTCAAAAAATCCCTCTCTCCCCCAAACATCTTGCATCCTTATCCTTAGAACATTGGCATCGGAGATCCAAGTTCCGACCTGGGACTCCGCGCCCTTCTTCCTAAAATCGTTGGCACACCCCCTTTCTTGCTACTTCCAGATCCGCTACCACTCTGATCAGGAAGTCACGTTGGGCGTGAGGTTAGGGTGTCACAGGATGATGGAAAGAAAGAGGGAGACAAGTCTGCAGGGGTGGAGCGAAGAAAGAAAATGAAAGTTAAGGTCCCTTGGACATACACTGGGAAGAGCGAGGAGAGTATTTTCCGTTGGGAGGCAGCAATGGACACATATATATAATAAAAAAAAACTGGTACTTGAATCGGTGCCACCTTGCCGTTTGCTAGCCCTGTGGATTGGAACTTACATCAAATGGAAGGATTGACATAACTCAAGAGCCCGCAATGGCAAGACAAGACAGTCGTCCACAAGAAGCACAAGATCCCATATGGACATGAGAGCCAGCTGTAGCAGACGGAGGGCGGGCGGAAAGAAAATAGACCGCCAGACAACAGCCAATTCTCTTTTGGTAGAGCAACTTTCACAACTGTGGTCTGAGAAGGACCCGCAAGATTTAGATCCC